GGAGCTACTCAATGTCGCCCTTCCCCAGAATATGCTCACTCCCGCACATTGCACACTCGACTTGCTACATTTTTAATCTTTAGATTTGGCCATGAGACCATTGCATAGCCCTAATGTTGCTCTATCAGATTATCATCTCTTGCGCCCACTGAATGAACATTTGAGGGAGGAAAATTTCAAAGACTACAACAAGTTCAAAAGTGATTCCACGGACTTCTTTTATCATCAGCCTCACTCTTTCTGGAAGGAAGACATCCAATCTTTGACCAACAGATGCTTGCATATCATTGATCATGATGGTACACATACTGCTGATCAATTGCTTTGCTCAAATGGATAGCAATCGAAGCAGCAAAAGTGTTAAAGGCCGACGAAATTATACGACAACATAGTACAAACCTCAGTTGTCACATCATTTCATGTTCAACGTGACATCGATTCCTTCAACCTCGCAGCAGCGTAAAAGGTACTCTACGTGATAGTATACAGCGCGCCTCATGGCAAATCTTCCTGAAAGCTTTCGTGCCAAAACACGCATGCTTATCGTTACTATTCTTTCTCACTATTGCATCAGTCTCGAAGCTTATGTACCTAATAGAGTTTGAGAAATGATAGCTCAGACCTGACGACGGCAAATTGGCAGTGAAATGATTCCATCAGCCACATTAGGTGATCTACGAAAAGCATGAGATGAGCACAATCCTTGTAAGAAAAATTTTATTTAAATTTTATAATTTTGTATTACCTATCGGCATCTTTATTTTGCAGAGTATTCCAGCACTTCCGACATCCGCTTCGTTTTCTCACATTCATTCTTCACCAAGGTCTTTTAACATTTTGTGTCTCTTTTAGTTTGCTCCTAAAGGATTTCGTCCCTTTTCAAGCATCGTTGAATGTTGGCCGAGTCGACTCTCCATACAATCTTGAAGACTGCCGGACTAGGATATTCACAACTGGTCATAAGAGAGTGTTATATGCGACTCGTTATCGTTGCTTCAATATATATATATATATATATATATATATAAAGGATAAAAGGATAAAGCTCTCGGCGTTAATCTATCCCTGAGGGATGCGCCATGCATTCGACTTCAATTTTTAACTTCGTTTGAGGTGATTGAATGCACATCTGGCCTTTACAATGACTCGCGGTGGCCTCCCGCTGAACCGAGTCAGTGCTGCTTATCCTCCCAGACAAGTCTGAGACCTGTCTGGTACCAATTTACCTACCCCGGAGGGATGGATGGCTTGGTGAGCCATGAGCGCGAGATCGAACCAGTGACCTCGTGTGCGACGCAGGGCACCTCTAACCACTGCTCCACATGCGCTCATATACATATATATATATATATATATGATATATATCGATATGAATTTTATATATATATATATTATATAAATGCAAGCCTTTTTCTAATATACTGCTACAGTTCCAAACTTTGCTGGCAACATCAAACGTGGAAAAGAAATACGACACAAAGCGATGCGCTGTAAACATTAGAAATGTTCCGATAACCGTTCACTTTACCACATCGCGTTCTGCCAATTCGTCGTGGCGATATTTGTGGTCTACATAATTTTTTAAGATTGAACTTGTATAAAAAAGAGTGCGGTGTTAACCAAATATTTTCTGAAGTGCTGCAGTTCATTTTGGAGGAAAGGTGCTAGATTTCTGTCATTGCCTATTTTACATTTCTCATTCATCGTTTTGTTGTATATGCCATCACTGTATTGCTGATGATGATTTGTCTTTCATCTCATCGACTGGAAGAAACTTCAAAGCATCTTAGTTATTCAACTGGAAAACTAGAGGGGCTCAAAGTAATAGAAAACACCGATCTTCTTTGTTTTTCAAAAAGGTGAGGAAGGATCAAAACGGTTTTAAGCAATGAATTCTCTTTATCCTTCGGAATCCCTCAAACACTTACCCAGTACGTGTATTGAGATCTCGACATAAGATATTTTCAAAAATTTCATGAAAGACACTATCGATTTTGGACGATTTAATCATAGTGACATCTTGAAAGATTGTGTCACAATTGTTTTCTAGCATACCAACTTGACATTTTTCTAGAATTCCTTGAAAATTTTGGATAATGATTAGCGCGATTCCCCTTCTACATGTATCTGGAATACTTCTGTGTGGAGTCTAACAAATAGATGCTTGAAGTTGAAGACTCGTTCGTGCTTTTTACGTTCATCAGTGGTTTCGCTCGTAGGCTTACAAATTCCTCTTTTCACTGGGACCGACATTACGGTTATAGAGTCAGCCACTAATCTGGTAAGCGCGTGGATATGTATGAAGTTACCTGAATCCATTCGAACCGGTCCATGATCGCTGCCATGATGGGTGACGCGGATGTGTATAATACTACCATGACTGCAAATGATTTCAGCATCAAAACAGAGAACGATGTAGTACTGGGCAACACCAAAACAAGATAACAATAAGGTGCTTCCTCTCACTGAAAGAGGACATGACAATACCAACCGTTTAAGACAAAGGCAGAAGCAGAGCACTGTCCGATTAGGGGCATGAATACAAAGCTGAGGATAATGATTATGCAGATGATTCCTTCAATTCGACTGCTTTTTCAAACCTCGCTCAAAACAGCACAATCTGACAATATATTTATTTTAACCTTTCATCTCTTCTATAGGCACTCATACAGTGAAAACAAACGTGCTTCGGTCTTGCAGTGTCGTCAGCTGCACGGGTGCCTCGCCTGATCCGATCCTTTTCGAGGAACAACTCCCCTTACATAAAAAATCGTTAACGATCATCTTACATTGCTGCGCTTAAAGTGAAAATTTATTTCACAAATAATGATCAATGGACTGTCATTCACTGCAGTGTCCGGTGATCATGTCACTGAACATGCAATGACATTTTCACTCTAGACACAGCAGTGTAACTTGTTTGTCGACGATTCCTTTATGTAAGGGGGTTTTTCCCGAAATGGTTTTAGCTCAGACAAAAGGTACCGTGCATCTGACGAGGCTGCAAGATCGAACCACATGTATTGCACTGTAAGTATAGAAGATCTTGTTGAAAAGCTCAAAAAAGACATTGTCAAATATGCAGATGTCCACAAGTAAAAGAATGGTCTTTTCAGCCATTGAACTTTTCTAAGCGTGCAGATCTATCATTCGCATAGGAAGATATTGCTGATAAGCAACGAACGACCAAGAGAGAGGCAGAACGTTCATCATGACGGTGTAATAAAGGCGAAGTGGCTGTTGAAGTCCGCACTCTACCTACTGCATAAAAGTTTTGCCCAATTCTCACCGTTGCTCTGCAGCTACCACCTACATCATGCTTACGCTTAAGTCAAAAGTTAGAGAGTAAATAAATTTCCTAAACTTGTAAAATCAGGCATCGATGAGTCAAACCAACCGTTCCTAAAGTATGTTGTTAAAATGTCGCCTTTAATGGTATGTAACAGTTGAAAACGACAAAAACTGCAAGCAGCAAACGCAAATGATGAGCAAGTAAATAAACGGAATCGTTACAGCATCTACGGCACAGCAGACTACAGATTAAGAGGAATACTCTTTTGATGTTTTTTGAAGGCTCCCAGATTGATACTCCCTTTATATGGGAACTGCAACAACAATTTTCGCATTATTGAGAAATTCAACGCAGAAAAATTTGTGAATGTTCTGGGACGATCGGCATAAGAGCATATTCAAGCCTCTGAGACATATTGAATTAAACGATGCAATGCTGATAATAGTGATAAGGGCAGCAGTGATAGCAGCACTTCAATGGCTAATGTTTCGGCGACTTCCGGAGAAAATGCTCCATATGTCCCTCCATAGTCACACATTTGTCGTTCCAATATAAGTTTGGATTCATAGCATTTATCTGTCCTGTGGTATCATAAACTACGAGAAATGGGCATCTCTTTGCCAAAGACGATTCGAGAGGATCGTATTTCATCCTTCCGCTGCGTATGATCGAGTTTTGTGTAGGACTCAGATGGAAGCTGACGTGCATCAAAGATTCAGTTCGCCAGCTTATTCATTTTGATCTAGTTATTTAGGCAGGCTTAAATGGTCCTGTGATTTGACAACACAATTTATTCCGTTCATGAGGCTTTTTATGACACTTATATAGTGCTACACCAGCGTTTCGGCCTTTCGGCGTGATCAGTGGCACGGTGCCTATTGATTCAGTCAGTTCTTGGTAAGAAGATATACCCCTTAGATATTAAGAAATTGACGACGTACATGTTACATTTCACGTACGTGGAAAGATCGTTTCACATTACACTGCTGACAAATCACTTCATCTAAGTGAAAAGGCCACCCGACATTGCAGTGATCAAGTGCCGATTGGTCATGGCTGATAAATTGAATAATGCCATTATATTCGACTTTTTTTGAGATCTTGCTTGAAACAATTTATAATTTGGAATTATAGTATTTCTACTGCTTTTTCGCAGTGTTATGATGTTAATTATATAGCTAAGAAAATTGAGTGGTGAGCAAAAACACGGCCTTAGGCGGAAAGCGAATCCACGTTTCATCTTGTCCGGTGACGCGTGCTCTACCACCACACCACTGAGGCACATTTGCCCGACCACTCATTCTTCAACATCTCTATGTTAGCTATTAGCCACCAACCTTCAACAGGTTGGGTCGGATTTGCGATTTCGCTTTATAAATCCCGTTAAGCTGACAGCCACTGTTATATATAATATTTCGAAAATATAGTATTTCTATTGCTTTTTTCGCAGTGTTATTATGTTAATTATATAACTAAGAGAATGTTTGGCCTTGTTTTTGTTCACCACTCAATTCTTTTAATTACATAATTAACATTATAACAATGCGAAAAAAGCAGTAGAAATACTATAATTTCGAAGTAATATATTTAACGGTGGCTGTCAGCTTAACGGGATTTGTAAAGCGAAGTCGCATAACCGACCAAACCTGTTGAAGCTTGGTGGTTGATAGCCATAGAGATGTTGAAGAATGAGTGGTCGGGCAAATGTGCCTCGGTGGTGTAGTGGTAGAGCACGCGTCCCCGGATACGATGAAACACGGTTTTGGTTCCCGCCTGAGGCCGTGTTTTTGTTCACCACTCAGTTCTCTTAGTTATACAATATATAATCTGATAACATATTTTAAGCCTTTAATGATGCCCCTTATAGCATCACCGCAGTGCGAGTGATCTTTCCATTCATGTTCAATGTAGCATGTTCGTCACCGATTCTTTTATACGTAAAGGGGTATATCTCCTCACAAAGTGTTGATTGATCCGAAAGGCACTGCACTACTGATTAGGCCGAAAGGCGAAATGTGCGTTGAGCATTATATAAGTGCATCAAGTGCCATAACAAACCACATGAAAGGGTTAAAATATCTCATCAGATTATGTATTGCTTCAAGCGAGGTCTCAAGTAAACAGTCGAATATAAAGGCACGTAGGTTATAGCAAGGTCTCCGTACTCGTCTTACTCAATGTTGCCTATCGAGAGCTCCATCGTGTTAAGAGGAATGGAGCCTGACTTTTTTTGTACTAAAATAGGCCCACATATCTGCATGGAGCTTATCAAGCCTTGATTGTCGAGGCTGGGCATTCACGAAAGACCTACGCGTTTTGCGAAAGCAAAGAGGAAGTTTATTTCTGGATGCGACTCCTTTTCACCTTTTATCTACCTCGCAATCCCTTTGTCATACGGTTTTGGCCGAACTGCCTTATAAAGTAGCATTTGCATGAAGGAATACACGTCGACGAAAGCATGTGTAGATTATTCCTCGCGAACACATACGATATGTGCCATTTAAAGCAGTAAAAAAAAGCTCTCACAAAATCCACATGTGTCTCAGGGGAACATCAGGCAACTTTTGGCGTTGTTGAACCTTTAATTATCGACTAGGAAATCATTGAGTAGCACTGTAACTAATCCAGTGGGGATTCTTCTAGGCGGAACACTGTAAGAGAAACTTTCTGAAGCACACGAATAATCACTTGTTAAATCACACCCCTTAACTAGGCTGCTTTTCTTCCTTTCTCATTTGGTCTCTGTGAGTCATTGTTTGAGCCAGATTGCATTCAGTCACGTCTACGTTGTACAATGGAGACAATGTGATATGCATTTCTAAAGAATTGATCAATGACGAAAATACGTTCACCACACTTTAGAATCAAGAACAGATATGAGCATATCTTATTAGTATTAACAATATTATGATGGGACACGAAGACATTTTCAACGATTTAGCTACAAATCATCTTATGAGAAGTGTTTTTGATAGAAGTACCTCTGGCAAGGTTGAGGGTTCAATTTTATTAAAACAAAAGTGCACTGCCATCAAATCTTTGTCTTTTTTTTTCAATTATAGACAATCTAAAAGAGTTTATTCCTAGTTTTGAAAGCGAGTCAATAACTGCTTCGATGTGCAGGCGAATCCATCTGAAGGATTTCCTCAACGAGCTGTGCCAGTCTCTAATTCTCTGGCAAGTAGTTGATCGAATTCCTTCACGGTCATACGTTTTGGCTTCGGCTTTGCAGCAGCCAGTCGTAGTCTGGAATGATTTCCTTTACTTTCAACTTAATACACTTGCACTTAGCAGCATCTAGCGAAAGATTTTTTGCGTTTCTAAACTGACAACAGAAATTGTAAGTACGCATTCGTCTTATCATGAGGTGGATTAAGTGCTTACAAAAATCCAGGGTTTATTTCTGCAATATTCGTAATCGACGAACACACCAGTGGACATCTGTCAAATTTTTGCGCAAAAAGACTGAAGATCTTGACTTCTGATGATCTGATAATATGTCTTGAGCTTTTTTTTGAGGTCTGATATGGCACTAACACAGTACTAAACAGCTCTTTCGCCTTTCCGGGCCCATCAATAGTGCGGTGCCTTTCGGTTCAGCCAACCGTTGGCAAGGGATATATCCGCTACTTACCTAGTAATCGATGCCGAATTATTCAAATCATCGCATGTCGAGTGATGAAATCCCCTGACAATAGAGTAACCACGGTCGATCGCTTATGCGTAGTAAAATTAATCATACTCTTACTTTCGACTGCTTATATAGATCTCGTCCAAGAGCACTAGTAATATGATAACCTGATAGCATGCTTTGAATGTTTGTTTTGGCACTCGACATGCGGTGACTTTTAATTCGGCGTCGATTCTTTGAAAAGCAGAGGTAGATCCCCCTGTAAGGGATACACTGACCCAAAAGACTTCGTGCTACTGATGAGCCTGGAAAGGCGAAACAGCTATCGAGTTCTGTATGAGTGCCATACCAGACCTCAAAATAAGTCTCAAAGCATGTTATTAGATTATCAGTTTTGAGAGAAATCAACACAAAAGTCGAAAGTTTTTGACTTCTTGAAGTTTCTCCGCCTAGGATTCGATAGGTGTTGTTTTCTATTCCTGCTATTGGAAAAACGACTTTTCTGCTTTGTATCAAAACCAACATATCCCAGCTTATAGCAAACTTTGCTGCATGAATTAGAGCCACTATAGCCTGCAGAGGTTCGCTGGTAACAATAAATGTCTCTTAATCTATCAATCTATAAAGCCGTGATTCTATGCAGTTCGAAATGATTTTTTTTTTTACTTCTATGAATGAACGATCGCAGTATGAAAACTAGCTTCTAAACAAGCTATTTTTATCCATTAAGACACAATGGGGCACCGTGGCCGAGTGATTGTGATGCTATTCGCGGTGTGTGTGGAGCCGAGCTCCACCTCCCTGCCGACTCTCTCTGGCAGTCAACAACAACGCCCTATGGAGCGCCACAGCCAGGTTATCTCGAGATTGCAAGGAACTCGCTCATTCAGTATTTTACGGCGTTCAAGAAGAAGGCGCTGGAATCTGAACAGTGAAAATAAGCACTGTGATGGCGGATCAAGCCCTAAATAAAGGCACAATGACGTTCAATGCGGTGATAGTGTTCATATCTGCCAAAATTGTTTAGAACTGTAAATGAACTCTTCTGAGAATTTCAGCTGCAAAGATCGCTAGAAATCTACTATGAAAAAAATCATAGTTGCCCTTGAATGAAATAAGTAAAATTTTTTCCATGAAGTATTCAATTAATGAAATCCTTAAATGTTCTAGTTAACGAAGAATCTTTGGGAAATAAAAAAAAAAACAGCTTTGGATCCGTAAGTGTTGAGGGACAACAGAACTTCTTGTATGTAGACTACTATTCCCCCATTCTCTGCGCTAAGCACTTGAATATAACTAATTGGGTTCTATATTGAAAGAGCTTTGCACTTAGCTGCTTGATAGGATGTAAAGTCAAACTTCCTTCTTCAGTTTGGACGATGGTAGAGTTAGGCGCAGCTAAACATAATAGCTAGGCATCCTTGAAAATACGCTTGCCACGGCGGTAGTGATTAAACTTTTGCTAGATTTGATTTTGATGAAAAAAAAAGTATAGGCTTCTGTGCACATCAGAGCACTTAGTCAAAATAGGTCTTACAATGTGCACTAGACTTTTGATCAGTTGTGTTATTAGAGAAAAGGAAAGTTGAGGATGGCAAAGCAAAGGACAAGAAATCTGAAATTAGTGAAAAGCTTCCCTTATATGCACATTTGAGATGTCTCAAATTAATGACGTGGTAGAGTAGGACTAACATTTAATGAGTATGTTTCCTCACTGATTCACACTTAAGTGTAGTTTGATAAATTGTATCACCTTTCGATAACACTGCTAACCGTTACTCTGTTGTGATAATCTTTCGAGCCCGTCTTGAAAACGTTGTACTGCCACCTGAATTTGTCACTGTTGGACAGGAATGCTAAAGAAGCAACCTATCCAATAAATATGGGAAAGATTATCTACCCTTTTATGACAGAAAGACAAAATCCAGGAGATCCATCGACATTGTTGTGTTCAGGAATTGTCCAGTGAACTTCTGAAATTTTAATCTCTCATAAGAAAATTGTTTAAGAGAGTCTAATCATCATCTAACTGACATACTTAGTGAGAGTTTTTGGGTTAATAGTGTACGTAAATAGACGAGATTTTGAAGAGGTGTTATTAATGCTTTTAAATCTTAACAACCACGGAAAACATAGGAGAAGAAACGTGAAAATGATTTACACTTGCCGTTCGATACCAGCTCAGGATTTCTGATTATGAGCACGCCCCATGATCCTCCATAAACATCTTCAATGATGCGGCGGACCATCTAAATAAGCATTGTAATTGAGCGAGAGGTGCCCTGCAACATAAACAAGTGCCAAAGTTCAAGCATAATATGTCCTCCATCTGTCTGGTGTTCACAAATTGCTATGAGAAATGTCTGAGAGACTTAAACCAATTACATAATGCATGGGTAGGCAACTAAAAGTCAATCGCAAATTCAGTGGGTCTTCAGATACTTCTGCGAACCTGGAAGACGTCAAGTACATAGTGTGTCTCTCATAGATTGAGCAACGTTTTATGTTTACGCTTTTTACGACTCAATAAAACAAGGAGACTTCAGAGGACTCATACCAACTGCAGCTCAGTAGCTTTCTTTCCTTCTTCCATGGAATTTTTACCCAATTGTTGGGCATTTGTAGCAATACACAACAAATTTGAAGAAATAGGCAACCAGTCCTCTATTATAAAAAGGTTCAATTCCTTAAAGAAGCCTTACCCGAATTGTCGTCAATGTATTTAGTAGGTGAAGGCATCTACCGGTGAACCGGAAAAAGCGGGGTATTCACCAATGTCAAAAATTGGCGGGGTTTAGGCAAAATCTTTCACAGTCACAATAATTACTATAATCCTGGTAACCGCAAGCACATATCTTTTTAATAGTGGAACAATTTTTTCAAAATCAAATCTTGTGAAGCTAATATTGAACGAAAGCAAGCGTTTTCCGAAAAAGAATATTTTGAGAAGATTGAGCAAATTAACACAGCTCACCCTCATCTGAATTGCTGGATCTTTCGTAGTCTCTGTAGCACGAATGACAATGGATCTGATGATTCCCGTTGGGCAGTTTTCAATTGCTAAATCAGCTGTTATATCTACATAGATTCAGTTTTAGGAAAAAACTTCTTGGTGAACTTACGCATATATTCTATAGATTAAACTATAAG